TTCACTAGACACAGAGAACAATGATTCCTGTGTGTAAACTGTGATTTACCATAACACCCTGCTGTATGTTTAAGATGTGAGATTCATACACATGATCAAAAAGATATGTAAAGTTATCTTTAAATACACACTTTGTTGTAGATAAAGAAAATCCATCAAATGATTATATTATAGTATGCAGGACTCACTAAAGTACAGTATTTACAGTACTCGCTGCAGTAAGAAAATGGTTTGGTGGAATTATTGCATTTAAATACTTCTGTTTTAACCAGTTTTTTCCTCACTGGTTTTTGTACTGTTTAAATGTAAATGTGACTTATATTTTAAAAGGTGACAGTCATGGAATAAACAACATATACAGTGCTGTGATAGCCTGATAAACTTGACGAAGGATGTATGAATTCATTTCACATATAAATTTGCATTTTGCAGGCTATATGACATTTAAGCTCATGACAAGGCACATTCTGTATGGACTACTACACATTGGAACTATGTTGTGATACTTCAGGCACAGAAATCAGAAAACATCAACAAGTTCTCCTGCTTTGGCAGATCAGTGTTCTACTGAACAGTTACTTCACTGATATGCAGAACTCTGACATACCCTCAGCGCACCTGAAACAAAAGTTCAATAAAGTATTTTCCTGCAGCAATGGTCAGAAGTGGACATTTCAAACTTCAGGTGAATTACAACTAAAAGGGGAAAACAGTCCAAAAAGAGGCTTTTTCTCTTTTCTCTTTTCATCCGCTGCTTGGCAGAGATTTGGCCAAAACAATCAATAACTGCAGCCTGAGCTGCAGAAAGCTACTCGAGTTTTAGAGCATGGGTGTGTGGAATCAAAACAGCAAAACACAGCTCAAAGAGCTGCCTACAGCAAGCCTGAGGGCCAAAACCCCAGCAGCACGTTAACACTGCAGAAGAGTTATACTGAGATCATACAAAATGCTTTTACAATGTTGTTTACATAAGTTGTGTCACAGCAGCAGATGTTGATTGACAGTTGGAATGGACAGACTCATAAACCTCATGCTGATTAATATCCATCCATTATTTATATCGCTTATCCTAAAGAGCTGGAGCCAATCCCAGCTGACATTGGGCGAGATGGGGTCCATCTTGGACAGGTCACCAGTCGATCACATGGCTGACACAGAGACTCACAACCACACACACACTTACACTCACTCCTACGGACAATTTAGATTCATCAATCAACCTAAGCTGCATGTCTCTGGACTGTGGGAGGAAGCCAGAGTACCCGGAGAGAACCCACGCAGTCACAGGGAGAACATGCTCCACACAGAAAGGCCCCGGGTCGGCCTGAGCTCAAACCTGTGAAGTTTGAGTTGTGAGGTGACAGTGCTAACCACTGCACACCATGCTGTCCCTGTTTAATATCAAGCTTTTTAAAAACACAAAAAACACCGGACTTCCACATAGACAACCTGAGATCAAGTCCTGCTGTGTGATGTGTTTCTCTACTGAGCCAACAGTAAATCACATTTTTCATCTGAAATCTAAACCAAGGACTCCAGCTTTTCCTACAAAGCAGGTCAAAGTTCTCACATGGAATCTAAAGAATCCTTGTTGCATTAACTTTATATTTTATACAGACATTCATGGACCACAGAGTGTCAATCCTAATGACTCTGGTGATTCTCTGACATTATCTCTAGCACAAGTAATCAATTAACAATACACATTTTTTTTTTAATCCAGGTGCCAATTCAATAAAGTAATAGTTTTCCAAAGGGAACAGAGTCTTTCTGAAATGATCACTTTTCTTCTAGCAAAAACATGAGGTTTCATGTTAAAGGTTTTGAAAACAA